AGGAAACACGCAGGGGCTGCTCCCGGTGCCGGTGCCAGGCATCGTCCCTCGCCCCGCGGCACCCAGAGCCAGGCACTCGCTCAGCCAGTCCGGTTTGCACCCGCGCTACAGTTCCACTTTGACTCCTTTAATAAAAGGGAGACCCGAGGGCACCTTCCTTTTGTACTCCAGGTACTCCTCTCCAAAGAAGTGGATGAGGGTGATCTCCTCCTCCTCGATCCGCTCCCGCCGGTGCCAGGCATCGTCCCTCGCCCCGCGGCACCCAGAGCCAGGCACTCGCTCAGCCAGTCCGGTTTGCACCCGCGCTACAGTTCCACTTTGACTCCTTTAATAAAAGGGAGACCCGAGGGCACCTTCCTTTTGTACTCCAGGTACTCCTCTCCAAAGAAGTGGATGAGGGTGATCTCCTCCTCCTCGATCCGCTCCCTGAAGAAGCGCCAGGACGCCAGCGCGTAGCCCACCACGCAGATGGGATTGCAGAGTAACACCTGCCAACAGACGCTGGCCGTCAGCACCCCTCGCCCCCAGAGCAACCCAGGCTGCCCCCACCCCACAGCCCCGCCACCCTTGGCAAAGTTCGCCATGAGGTCTAAGCACTCTCCAAATAAAAGATCCCAGTGCCTTTCATGGTATTTCTTTCCGGGGGGAAATTGATGCTTTTGAAGAAAGCAGCCCAGGGGCAGCTGCTGGCTCCAGCTGCCCAGCTCTAGAGAGCCCATGTGTGGCCAAGCTGCTCCCTGTGCAGCCTTTGCCATCTCCTTCCAGAGAAATGAACCCCAATGCCAACCGCCAGCCAGCCTTGAAAAGAGGATGAGTGAGGCAGCACTGAGTTACAGCTCAGCCACAGCTGGTATCCACTTCACCCTCTGCCCAGGGCCCTGGGCACTCAGAGGGAGTTTCCTTTGCCATCAACAAGGGGCTGGCACACGGCAGAGGTGAGGACGAGTTCAGGAGCTGACAGGAGGTGTTTTGGCCATCGGGACGCAGAGAAACTCTGGACACCAGCTTTAGTGTGGCAGGGGATTGCACACCAAGCCTCCAAGGGCCTTCTGGCTCTTAACCCAGCCCTGCCACCCCTGCTTATTCCACACAGAAAATTAAGGTATTGGGGACTTTTCAGAGATTGCACAGGGTTTTCAGACCACCCGTGTGCCCGTGGGAGGTGTCAAAATCTGTGCCTGGGTCTCCCCTACTGCCAACCGCTAGCTCTCTGCATCCCATTATGTGAACAGAACAGCATGAAGCAGCGAGAGAAAGCCCCTCCCACAGTCGATGAGGACAAGGATCATGAATGTCTGAGGAACCTTAACATTCCCAAGTCCATGGGGCCCGATGAGATGCACCCTAGAGTGCTGAAGAAATTGGCTGATGCCCAGACAGGTGGTGGAGGGCCCATCCCTGGAGACATTCAAGATCAGTCTGGACAAGGCTTTGAGTAGCTCGATCTAGTTGGAGATGTCCCTGCTTATGGCAGGGGGATTGGACTAGATGACCTTTGGAGGTCCCTTCCAGCCCAGACATTCTATGATCCTGTGACTCGTGTTCTAAGCCAAAGCATCTGCGCGTGCTGCAGGCGGTACCTGTGTTCCAATGCTCCAGTAAAACCAGCCCACGTACGACGGGTGCCGGAACCACCCGTACACCCCGCTCGTCACCAGCGTGTGCGTATCCGATTTCTCATTCTGGACAATGTGGTTGAAGTTGGAGCCAGCAGTGAGCATGGCAGCCTTCCTCAGACAGTCCCCAAAGATCACCATCAACAGTCCCACGGTGCTCAGCCAGGTGATCTGCTTCAGCTCTGCAAGGGAAGGAGGATGGGTCTCAACAGGCGCACACACGTCGCACCCACGGCGTGCGAGCTGTCCCCCCACCCCGAAGGGTAAAACACAGCCGGCGATCTGTGACACTGCCATCCACCACCAAAACAAATAAAACCAGCGCCCCTGGCCACGGAGTCGCCCCCAGTGAAGAGTCTGTGCACCCTCACGTCACATTGCCCTGGGGGAGCCCAGCTTTACTGTGCAGAGTACAGCTGAGCTGAAACTCAGTCAAGCAGACATGCTGGGGCCAGACATGAGGAGCTCCACAGCCCGTGCTGCTGTTATGACACAGTGAACAAGAACATCTCCCCTCTCCCTCAAAAAAACAAACAAACTCACAGCAACAGTTTTTGCCAATTTGATATTATTCCAGGCCAAAAGAAAACGCCCCGATCTAACTGAAGTATTGTTCTTTGTACCACCAAAGCGGATTAAAAGATGTAAGCAGAAAGTGGCTGAAGACCAGCAGAGACAGGCTGATGTGTCCACGCAGGGGGGATGCTTCCCCCGCCCTCCCGAGACTGGAACAGAGCGGCTTTAAGTGGAGAGATTAAGGCCACGTCAAAGCCCCTCTCCCCTGCCGGCACAGGCCAGCTAATCCCGTGGCTACCAGGCGGGTGGGCCCTGGGAGAGCCAGCAAACAGAGCAGGGGGCGGCACGAAGGGCAGGGCGGCCAACCTGGGAAGAGGAACTTCTCCAGCGTGAACTCCACCCAGGAGGAGAGGGCAGCCAGGTTGTACTCGAAGCTGTGGTTGAGCAGGAAGGAGTCCAGCGAGAGGCTGCGCGGGTTGTTGATGGCCGTCACCAGATACTCCGAGTAGTGGAAGAGGGAGAGCGAGCACATGTACCTG